CATATGCGCCGCTCCCAGGCCTCTCCTCTGTATGCCCGGACTGCCACCGACAGCTCCTCCGATAAGATGTTCAGTTGTGCTTTTAGTCTTGGGCAGCGAGTACGCGCCCAGAGCCTCCTAAGTGCTCTTTTGCGTTTTATCTTGACGCATATTTCCTGCGGCAGATCGTCACGCCTTTCTGTGATTGGGACGATCGTAGAGGCCGCGTGGAGGGCCTCCTGGATGTTTTTGGTGATTCTGGTTGCAGCGGCCTCTACGTCGTTCGCTGTGTTTATGAGTTGGTCTGCTGGAGGTCTCGCCCGCAGGTGTTGTGCGTAGCGCCTCCAGTCAATGCGTGTCTTGAAAGCTCTGGGCGGCGTAGTCACCGCCTTAGTGCCAAGGGTTATCAGAATCGGGAGGTGCTGTGAGCTCAGGTCGTATAGCACCTCTACCACTACCGGGTAGTTGACGTTCCTAGAGAGCACAATGTCTAATACATCCGGATGTTGCTTCGGATCTGTTGGAACGTTGGTTGGTTCTTCGGGACCTAAAACGTCGTAGTTGTTTCTCTCTGAGTCTTCATATAGTGCAAGACCCGGCGGGGTGATCACTCTAGACCCCCACGCCGGGTGTTTGGCGTTTAGGTCCCCGGCGATTATGGTATGTGTATCGCATTCCATCACTGTCCGGATGTCTGAGGAGCAGAATGGAGTCCCTGGCGGGCGGTATGCTGCGTAGATCCTTAGTTCCTCGCCCGCCGCCTCCATTCTTATGCCGATAGAGCGCATAGTCTGGAAAGGTGGTAATTCCAGCTCTTGGTGGACGATGTCCCTCCTCACAAGAACCGCCGTCCCTCTAAAGGCGGCCCCCTGAGGGGTGACCTCGTCCCTTCTGTATAGGTGGTAATTAGGCAGCTTAATATGCGTCATTGGATTAAGTTTTGTCTCGCCCAGCAATATAATGTGGAAGTCCTGTTGCTGGGCGACTGTGCGGAATTCATGAAGCTTCTGCTGTATTCCGCCCGGGTTCCAATAGAGGAGGCGCAGATTACTCTCCTCCGTAATGCCGGGCTAATAGATTTGCCAGCGCCTTCATAATTGCTGTAATTGGATCAGTCCCGGCTCTGATATCAGCCAGGACTTGTGTACCGACCTCGATGGCAATACCAACTAAGCGTTGTATCGCATCTGCTGTCTCGAGGCCGGTGGCGGGTGTTCTCCTGTATGAAGGCGTTGGCAATTGTCTCGGGTGTGGATGTTCCTGGTCCTGCCCTCTTGGCTTGTGGGTAGAGCGCGCTCTAACTGTAGAGCGGGCTCTACGTTCTGGTAGGACCCTTTCTGGCACTCTACCCACTTCTTTGGTCGACTCCCGAGTAATCTGCACCTTTGAGGCTACTGGTGCTGATGGTGTCGGGGTAGAGGTAACAGCCTGAGGAGGCTGCGACTTTTTCCTGCTCCTCACCCGCCTCCTCTTCTTAGAGGGTTGCCGTTCTGTGGCAGGGTTGCCGGGAGGCTGTAGAGTTGCCCCGGTGGTTGCCTTTATCTCGGTGGGTTCCACCGTTTCTTTAGGTGTTACGGGTGGGGGGGGGGCTGATTGTCTGCCCTTCCCAGTGATGGTAGCCCACCCGTCTTGCTGGATGGTAACAGCTTTCGGGCGACTCTGGGGATCCTTTTAGGGTCCTCCGGGAGTATCCCCGGTAAGGTGATCCCCTGCCTCCTAGCAGTCCTCCTCAGGACTGGGCAGCGGCGGTCGTTTGCCGTGTGGTTCTTGCGTTCTTTGCGGATGCATGTCCGAAGGCCTGGCAGCGGTGGCATTGAGCTGGTCCTGCTTTCCTTTGCCAGGCCTCGATGACGACCCCTCTAATAAAGAGGAGTTCGTCGATGTTGTATAAATTCTGGAGCTGCTCCAGGCTCAGGTGGTCTAGTTGGGCAAAGTAGATGCAGCCAGGTCTGCCTCTACGTGGTGGAATTGCCTTAACATATTTGATAGGGAAGCCTTTTGCCCTTATGGCCTCCTCTATTGCCTTGGTGTCCGTGCCCATAGGTAGACCCCGGATGCCCACTTTAGTGGGCTTGTCCTCCTTCGGGGTATAGCAGTACCAGGACAGCGTTGGTGTTTCCTTGGTCAGCTCCACCATATAGCGCTGTACCGTATGGAACTCGTTGGCGCTTTGTGGCGTGAACCTCACGCCTTGCCCGAACGGACGGGCATGTAAAGGGTGGCCCAACATTCTGTTGAGCTCCTTAAAATGCCTCGTCCAGTCCGGTAGGCACTCAGCTACTATTGGTGGATATCTCGTTTTTTCAAAGCCGACGCGGCGAAGGCGAGCTCAGGTGCCTGTGCTTCCCTACGCTAGGGCGGAGGCACTGCTCATCCCGCAGCGCCGGAGCTGCCACGGAGCGCCGGAGCACAACTTCCCGGCTTCTTACCCCCCCTAGTCTCCAAAATTAACGAAATGTACTCGATACCAAGTAGTATTGATACTTTTGATACGATACTTGGTATGGAGTACGTATCGATACTTTCAAAATATTCGGAACCCTACACTAATTGACGTTTGACATCAATCATTTGTCAAATTTATTTTGTAATTGGTGTAATTGAGTGTTATTTGCAAATTTGTATGAAAAGTTTAAAAAAATCTATCTCATGAACCGTAAGTTTCCGCAACCTAAAACTTTGCAAAACGCTTTCTTTTAGTGAGTACTATCTACAAAAATAATATGGGCTTTGAAATCGATGGTCCATGAAATCGATGGTCCATATTGGAAATATTAAGCGAATTCATTTCTATTAAAATTATTTCAGCTCATCAATATAGAGCTTTGGACAGTGAAAACTCCGAAACTGCAAGTTCTACTGAAGGTAAATATAAGGATTAAAAGCATGCCTTATGAACAAGGTTGGCAATGTTTAAAACGTTTGTTTAAAACAAGTGTTTAACACGTTCGCTGCGGCAACTATTTGAGACATTACTCCCCCAGTGCGTTACCAGGTCTATAGGCCTTATACCTAAACTTTTCACCGGTGCGTCAATGGGTCAATAAACCTGGTAAGATATGGGTCACTTCAAACTCTAATAACTCTGCGAAAACTTTTGATATTGAATATTTTTTACACCAGGTTATTGAGAAAATGTAAGCCTATCTTATACTAGCGTCGCAAATTGCTCCGATGGCTAATTTAGAAAATATACAGAAAAACAAACATAAGGCTTATCGACCCATTACCGCACCTAGGTAATACTTCGGGACCTAAAACGTCGTAGTTGTTTCTCTCTGAGTCTTCATATAGTGCAAGACCCGGCGGGGTGATCACTCTGGACCCCCACGCCGGGTGTTTGGCGTTTAGGTCCCCGGCGATTATGGTAGGTGTATCGCCTTCCATCACTGTCCGGATGTCTGAGGAGCAGAATGGAGTCCCTGGCGGGCGGTATGCTGCGTAGATCCTTAGTTCCTCGCCCGCTGCCTCCATTCTTATGCCGATAGAGCGCATAGTCTGGAAAGGTGGTAATTCCAGCTCTTGGTGGACGATGTCCCTCCTCACAAGAACCGCCGTCCCTCTAAAGGCGGCCCCCTGAGGGGTGACCTCGTCCCTTCTGTATAGGTGGTAATTAGGCAGCTTAATATGCGTCATTGGATTAAGTTTTGTCTCGCCCAGCAATATAATGTGGAAGTCCTGTTGCTGGGCGACTGTGCGGAATTCATGAAGCTTCTGCTGTATTCCGCCCGGGTTCCAATAGAGGAGGCGCAGATTACTCTCCTCCGTAATGCCGGGCTAATAGATTTGCCAGCGCCTTCATAATTGCTGTAATTGGATCAGTCCCGGCTCTGATATCAGCCAGGACTTGTGTACCGACCTCGATGGCAATACCAACTAAGCGTTGTATCGCATCTGCTGTCTCGAGGCCGGTGGCGGGTGTTCTCCTGTATGAAGGCGTTGGCAATTGTCTCGGGTGTGGATGTTCCTGGTCCTGCCCTCTTGGCTTGTGGGTAGAGCGCGCTCTAACTGTAGAGCGGGCTCTACGTTCTGGTAGGACCCTTTCTGGCACTCTACCCACTTCTTTGGTCGACTCCCGAGTAATCTGCACCTTTGAGGCTACTGGTGCTGATGGTGTCGGGGTAGAGGTAACAGCCTGAGGAGGCTGCGACTTTTTCCTGCTCCTCACCCGCCTCCTCTTCTTAGAGGGTTGCCGTTCTGTGGCAGGGTTGCCGGGAGGCTGTAGAGTCGCCCCGGTGGTTGCCTTTATCTCGGTGGGTTCCACCGTTTCTTTAGGTGTTACGGGGTGGGGGGGGGGCTGATTGTCTGCCCTTCCCAGTGATGGTAGCCCACCCGTCTTGCTGGATGGTAACAGCTTTCGGGCGACTCTGGGGATCCTTTTAATGGTATTTAAATGGTATAATTGGGATAGTTTTAGTGATGGGAAATAACATAAGTACAGAAATATCGAGATCAACTTTATTTTATTATTAACTGTTATCTGTTATAGATTATTTTCGTAAAAACATTTAGCGCAATATCCCTTGTTGTACTCAGCGCAATACGATTTAATTTTTTTGGTTTTTCTTTGAGCATCTTTGCTATTTAACGTTGCACGAAGCTTATTGTAACAACTCGCAGAGTTTCTTCTTTTTATTCCTTTGGTTTCGAAGGTATGATTCGTCTTTGGCATAGCAGCACATTCATTAGCTTTAATAAAAGAAACAAATTAAATAATAAACCAAGAGAGGAAACGCCGTGTGAGATTGTTGCTATTTTAAAGCTAACTTTATCTTTAAACTTAACAACTAATAAAAACTAGCTTTCTCCGAGAAAAAAATATAAGGTTATTGTATCAGTATTAAATTACAGTTAAGTATTTTATTATCATTTTTAGTTATTTTTTTTCTCAGACAGAATATCGTTACCTAGTGCTAAATATTACGGAAAAATATATTACCTGTTTCTGTTAATATCGGCACCTAAGTCAAAGCTTCAATAATTGCTTCCATAAAATTCTTCTTTGGCATTTGAACTGGTTTTCAGTGATTGTATAATACCCAGCTGTTTATTATGACTATTCCAAATAATATCTCCATCATTACTTTTCTGAACCATTTCACGCCTCTTTTCAAGCTAGAATAATATGAAGACATTTGGTCGTTAAAATCGATGCCTTTTTTATTCTCATTGTATGTTATGACGCATTGTGGTTTTTTAATTATGTTTCCAGTGATTCGGTTCGTCTTACCTGAAAATGAGATAAATACAAGTTAAAATATTGGTAGATACAGTGTACCTATAAATTTATTCAAATTAAATTTCTCAAAATTTGTAGATTTTATCGCGGGCGGATAGTAGTTTATTTATAAAAAATAGTCCTAATTTCTCAAATTTTTACCTAGTTATATTTTGTTTTTATTTTTGCGTCATATGTATTTTTAATTTTTTCATTTAAATAATTATGTAAATAGCTAGTTATAATGCTTTAGTGCCAACTGTAATGTTACTTCTATAAATAAATAAAACAGAAAAAAATGAACTAACATCCTTATCTAAAATGACATATATGTAATACGTACCTGTAGATTTAAGAGTCAAATTGTGATTTCGGCACGTAGAAATCATATGAACCGGTCTCTTATCTGTCCACTTTATAACTCTTACCCCATTTGGGTTCATTTTTCCTACTATTTGACCTCGTTTCAATTTTATGGATATTATTTTCTTAGGATTTCCTTTCCGATTTGGCCTCAGAGTACCACACATGAAGGTCTTTTTACGTATAAGTTCTTCTGCAAGATCAATGGAATTGTAGAAATTATCTGTTATTATTATTCTTCCATTATTTTCTAATCCTTTTATTAATCTTAATACTGTTTCCTTTCCATGATTAGTTTCTCGACCATTATCTCCTTTACCTGTATATATAATACAATTTCTTGTGTATCCTTCTGGAGTGCAGAGCTTATATAGTTTCACTCCATATTTGTGGGACTTGTTTTTAATGTATTGGCGAAATTTCAACCTCCCTCGCCACGGAATCATACTTTCATCTTTGATAAGATAACGACCTGGCTACAAAAGGGTTTTCATTTTTTATAAAATCTTATTAAAAGTATCCCTTATCTTTTTCAATTTGTCTTGTCTTTTGCTGTCTGTGTCGTTAGGTGACTCTTGACTAAAATGCCAAAATTTCAAAATTAGCAGAAATCGATCTCTTGTCATAACTGAACTAATGTATTTATTATTGTAGATGTTTCTTTTCGACCAGTAATCATTTAAACGTGGTATTATTACAAGACCCATCGCCAGTAGCACTCCTAAAAATTTTTTCATCTCCTCTGGAGTTGTAGGAGTCCAGGCTCGCAAGCGTGATTTAGGCTTAAGATTACTTAGATTACTAATAAGATCTTGTGCGTAATTGTTTGTGTTTATTACCATTTGCTCAATAATTTCATCCGTTAAAAATAACTGTAAAAATCTGCTGGTGTTATAGTATTATCCGGAATGTTTGGTCTACAATTATCTGTGAATTCATCGAAATCAGGTTTTATATCGTTAATGTCTTCCCACTCATCAAAATTATTGTTTTCTGTACATTGAGTATTTTCAAGTATTTGAACTAATACGGTTTCAGAACTGTTTTCATAGTAAGTTATTACGCTATCATCACCATCACTATCGTCGGAGTAAGAAGAATCAGTTTCTAGGTCAGACGAGTTGGGAGCATAACTATCATCAGATGAATCGGGTTCAAAATCTTTAGCAGAATTTGCAGGAATATTCAAATATGTTAATGAACTTTGTTCATTTTGCGTTTGAATGTCATATATTGCACAGATTTTCTCGGAAGGGTTGGGAGTATAATTGTTATTAGATGCATCTGGATTTAAATCTTTACTATAAATTGTAGAAATATTCAAATTTGTCAATGAACTTTGATTATTCTGCGTTTGGGTGTTATTATATTGCACAGATTTCTTCGTTGGATAGTAGGCATAATAAGGATTTTGCACATGAAATGTCACTAATAGAACTAGTCCTGCTTGTAAGATTTGATACGTTCGGAGTTACTGGGGTTTCTTTTCGTAAATTATAATATTTGCGGATAGGAGTTGCAAGTCCGTATTCAGCGTTTTCCAGTACATGAAGAGTATTGCCAGTACTAGGACTAACATAAACATCGTTTTCTGATTTTTGTATTTTCTTTCTTTTAGGCGTAAAGTCTAAATAAGTCTTTCTAACTTGAGGACTTACCCGCATTGAGCTATCGTGTAAAGTTGAACTGAAGCAAGGTTCTTGAAAAGCAATAGATGAACTGCAGCGAGGTTCTTAAAAAGTTGTAGTTTCACTGCTTGTAGAAGCTGGCTTAACAATAACATCCTGAAGGATTTGAATTTGTTTTTTTTCTTGTAAACTGGCACTGTTATTTTGGTCCACCACTTCTTGAGCATTTTGAAAAGACAGCTCGAGCAGTTTTCGACAACTTTTATTGACTCGATGCATTTTTTATGAATCGTACGCACATGCATTTGTAAAAGCTGTCAACACAACACTAATTAATTTTGACTCTTCAATCAGTGCGGTATTAGGCAGATAGGCATTGTACTTTCCATAAGGCCTATGGGCCTTGTATCCGCACTGAATGTCAATTTTTACTCTGCAGTGCGGTATAAGGTCGATAGGCCTGATACAAATATTATTATTTAAATGAATAGCCATTGAAAAGACGATCTTAAATATATACTTGTCTTTATCACTTATAAAGAAATCTTTAAGTTACTGCGTTCGCACCTGAGGGAGAACGCTTTATTTTCGCTCCGCACCGACTGCAAGTTCATGTATCAGGCCTATAAGCCTTGTGCCGCAGCGAACGTGTTAAAACACTGTTTAAAACACTGGAAAAAATACATACCTGTTTAAAACACGTTTTAAAACATTTTGTTTTAAACACGTTTAAAACATATATAAAAAACGTTAAGTTTTACAACATTATAATTAATCCTATTTTTTTTTCGTACTTTTTAAAACTTTTTATTGGCAACATTATAATTTTAAGGTGTATTGTAAATTGTGATGGCAATTCTAGCTGGCGGCTGACGGGGATTACCCCAGCAGACTACAATGAGCGAACGAGTAAGGTATTTTTGTACTCTGAGTAAATGGGAAAGGGATGAAGATAGTTCGCTCCGCTTGTATTGTACTGCGGTACTTTTCTTATTGTCATTGTAGATTATTCAGTGAGACTGTAATGACTAGTGAGTGATAGATAATTTGATTGAGTTTCGTTCGTTTAGTATTTATTTGTTTGATTTATTATCAATTTGGAATACTCTGGATCTGCATTCTGCCTGCCTGCCCTTCCAAAAGAAAGAATGTCTACAGGACGAAAAAAGGATTCGCTTTGGCAGTACTTCACAGAACTGCCTGCATCTACAACAGGGGGTGGTGCAAAAACACTCAGGGCGAAGTGCAAGTATTGCGGGAAAGACTTGGTAGGGTTAATCGCCCGAATGAGGGCACATCTAACAAATTGTTCAGATTATGCGGCTAAAAAGTCAAGCCCATCGACTTCGAAAGCAAGAATCCAAATCCACAATGATTCAAGTGAGGATGGTAAGTAAATACTTGTATTTTTATATTATGTTTGTTGCTTTGTAGATATCTAATACCAACTTCAAACGCAATATTATTCTGTATATCTGTCCCTTAGTGAAATTGAAAGGACATAGTATAGTTATTATGCCAGAAATCATACTTGAAGGGGGTGAAATGAAAGGGGGATGAAAGTTTGTATGAGGAGCCAATTTTTCCACGCGGACGAAGTTGCGGGTACCCATTAGTATTGTATATAAATGTGCGCCGTTTATAATTTGATCTCACTATTTTTATTTATACACTTTTTAGCTTTATTTTGAAATGTACCATTAAACAGGTGCAAATAAATCCTTATTCAAATTTAATCTTCCTGAAATTTATTTTTTACCTAAATACCTAGTTAGTTACACGTTTTGTGTGTAATATATATATATATATATATATATATATATATATATATATATATATATATATATATATATATATATATATATATATATATATATATATATTGTACACAGTTTTTTTTTTCACAGACAGTGAGGCAGATGGAATCCAGACCAATGTTGAGCTTATTAGCAAAAAATCGAGGCAGGACTCATCAGCGTCGTCAAGTCGCTCAATAATGTCGATGTCACAATATGTAGTGAAAACATCAGAACAGGAAAAGCATAAAATAGATTTACAAGTTGCCAGATACTTTTATGCAAAGAACACTGCATTCCGACACTCTGAGCATCCAGAATTTGTCAGTTTGATGCAATTAGCTCGAAGACTATGTACCACCTAAAAGAAAACTGGATGGTTGGAGTAATATACGCAATGAACCTATTGTGTGTGTTAGTGTAACCACTACTGAGGATGATGGTAAAGTTTTTCTCATAGATACAATAGATACTACTGACAAAGTCACACTGTCAGGTCATACCGAGTTGATTATTTATTCATTTTTTGTTGAAGAAATAAGTACTGTTTTTGTTCTGGTGTATTGTTTTACAAAAAAAAACTTCTTTCATATTTTATCGTTTCTTTTAATTTCTACCTTCCCCTTATTTATCCCAATCGCAAAACAACTCATTTTTTAAGTCTTAAAAAATGTTTTAAACATGTTTTAAACGTGTTTTAAACGTGTTTAAAACATGTTTAAAACATTCAAATAAAACATTTATGAAAAATTGATTTAAAACGTGTTTTTTTGTTTTTTGATTTAAACATGATGTTTTGTTCTTTTTAAAAAAAAACTGTTTTTTTCCAACCCTGGTTATGCATGATATCTTAGGTTGGTGTATTCTTAGGGTTGCATCCAGGGAGTATATCAGGGAGCAATAGTAGTGCTGTGAATATTTTAAGTTTTCACTAGATAGCACTCTATAATTTTGAGCTAATAAAGAAAACTACTAAATTGGTATCTTTTTTTTTTGTAAAGTTATACAATAATTCATAGTGTGAAGTAGTGAATATTAGATGTAAATGATGTAAAATGTAAATTTGTTTTCGTAGAGTATATATAATTTAAAGGGTTTGAAAGGTTTTCGAATCTTTTATTCTGAATTTAAAAATCTTTTATTTTGAATTTAACTATTTATTTGTGATATTACTGCAAAATCACACTGGCAGCACTAAAATGTAGTATTTTTTTTCAAAAATCAACAAAATTTCAAAAATGTCTGTTACTGATAATCTTGTGCTTGCATGGTTTATTAGTATTTTTTGATTATTAATAAATCTAAGATTTAAAGGGTTTGAAAGGTTTTCGAATCTTTTATTCTGAATTTAAAAATCTTTTAATTTGAATTTAATTATTTATTTGTACTATTACTGCAAAATCACACTGGCAGCACTAAAATGTAGTAGTTTTTCAAAATCAACAAAATTTCAAAAAATGTCTGTTACCTACTGATATTCTTGTGCTTGCATGATGTATTAGTATTTTTTGATTATTTATAAATCTAAAGCCCGGTTTACATTTTGAGAAGTGACAAGTGCGAGCGACAATGACAAGTGACAAATGACAAGTGACAAGTAGCAAGTTGGTGTTCACACATATGGCAATTGGATGTCATTATTATGTGAAATCTTCGAGTGTGAAGTTGGGTAGGTAATTGTCAAAGAGGCGCTAGCGTAGCTTTAAACTTTAAAACTTTAATCAAAAAAGATAAAATTGTATGATGAGATACCAAAGATGTGTGAAGTGCCTTATTGCAAAGATATTGGTGCACACCAATTTCCTAGAAACGCTTAAGTGAGAAAAATGTGTCTTAAAGACATTACAAGGAAAAAATTTAAGCCTGAAAATAATATGGCTCCAGCCCCTGACCTACAGGAGTCTTTAATTTTCTTCTTTTCTTGGTAATATGTAGACTTAATGCTTCTTAACTTCACATATACCTACTTTTTTGCGCCGAAACCGGGCATTCCCATTGCTTGAGATATTGAGGGCATAGCAGTGTCTCGTATCATTTTATTTTTTTTAAATTCAGCGATGTAATATTTTATAAACATTCGTGTTTCAATAATTCCTTGACAAATTTAATGTTATTGCTATCTGACCACTTCGTAATAAAACAAAATTATTATAAATACGAGTATGTATACAATATATATAACAAAAATATTTTATTTAATAACTATTATAAACAACATGATGTATGTATGTTCTGACGTTCGCCGCTAGAACTGGGGCGGCGGTGGGTGACTGAGGGGAAAGCAAGGTTAGCGCGGGGCAGAGATACTTGTCAGAGAATAGAGCAGGCCGCTATTCACTTGTTACTTTTCATTTCACACTTATCACTTGTCACTCGCACTTGTCACTGCCTGTTCACACGCACTTAGCACTTGTCATTTGTCACTTGTCATTGTCACTCGCACTTGTCACTTCTCAAAATGTAAACCGGGCTTAAGATTTTCATCTGTGAATTTGTCGTTGAGCAGAGCTTTTGTTCCTCCTGATATTTGTGCAACTGAGATAAGACAGACTCATGTTTATTGTGTTTATATCACAAATTATAAAGTTGTATGTACAAGACAGATAGGACAGTACGTCGCCGTAGCGAGTTTGGAGGGCAAGCTTTTTTACCGCTAGATGGCTACCTTGTTAGTGTTGGGGTGTATAGATTATCCATGATATCGATAGATTTTGCAGCGATAGGGATGTGAATTGAGTTTATCGATTTCTTTTATTTTCATTATTCTTTATTAGTTATATTAATAAGGGAAAGGAATTTAAAAAAAAAACATATTTGCAAGTTTCATTTTTTATATTTTCTTTGTTTTAACCATTTTATATGTGCTATTTTTTGAATATATGGTGCATCGTTAAAATTAATTACACAATGCGATCCATTCAATATTCTGTTTATTGTTCGGCACCAGTGAAATACTTGGATTTTAGCCCCAAGAAGTAAAAAATTTTTTTTTGATTTTGTCATGGTGCTCTTGGCAGCCTATCCATTCCAAATTATTTTGAGTAATAAATTTTTCGGATATATTTTTAATAATATTTCCTTTGTGGCAAGTATTATTTAATACCACATTACTTAAATCAACTAATTTTGAAAATGCTACAATAAATCTTGTACTAGGGTACATAAGATTTTTCCCTTTAAGGTGCTTTCGTTCTCTGTGTCTAATTAAATCATGGACACTAAGCTGCTGATCCTCATTATTTAAAAATGTTTTTTTGCAATTTTTACATTTATTTTGACACAGTTTTCTTATAATATATCCTGAAGTGTAACTCCTCGCATTTACATTTATTTTTTCTTCAAATATGGAGGAGACCATATTTCCTGATAAATTTACTTCAGATGAACAACTAAGGTTTCTATTATCATTACTATCGGGAACTGGTTGTTCATCTGAAGCAAATTCCTCATTCAATAAAGTTGTTATGTTTAATATGGTCTCCCCCATATCATCTTCACAATTAAAATTTTTTGTGTGGATGGCCAGCATGTCCGTCATTAATAATGACTTAAAAGAGTTTCGGAACGAAAATGTATCGGGGTTGGTATATCTATAATTATATGCTCTTATTTTGCCAAAGAAATTTTCAAGGGGGTCTTGATTTAGGTTTCTCGTGTAAAAGAAACTGACCCCCTCCGATTGCATTATTTCACTTACTCTTATTAGGCTTTCTAGTGTTGTAACCCAATTGTTTAATGTTGGTACATTTTTTATTGTAGCTTTTTCTAAAGAATTTTTTGGAATGAAATGCATTTTTTTAAACTTCTTAATGGCTTCAATCCAAAATGCTTTGTGGGCACTATTCAGTTTGACTGGACCTCGTATTTTTCCTGGAGCCCTACCAGACCTCGAACCATTGCAACTGTCGAACAATTGGTCAAAGAAAGCAACTGCTGCAGCTGTATTTTTTGTTGTTTCACTGATTTGTGTTCCGTCATGTCGCTGAGCTGGAACAAAAAACATGAAATTAGAATTACTTTTACATGATGTATTTTTACTTACATGTAACAGGCAATCTTTACTCATGTTTATTACAAAATAATTTTTTATGAAATTAATAATAACTAAACAAGAAAAATCAATTTACATTTTATTTAAATCTTTCCAACTCCAAATGAACATTAAACCCCAAAGTTCATCTTTAGAGACAGTTGAGTTATTTAAATTGCCACAAACACACATTCATAGACTGCAAATCTCACAGAGAAGAAGTAAAAACTAAACTATCAAAAGTTATATGATAAACAATATGATGGGCATTGATGGGATCATACTGTAGCCCAAACAGCTTGATGGATTTTAACATTTGGGTATCATCAGATATTTGTCTTAGTTGTGGATGTGACATAGGAAATTAAAAAAGGACATAAAGTTAGCTTTACGCGTACACAATCACAAACCCAATATTCCATTAATCGCTTTTTACATGGTAGCCCATAATGTTATACATTGACCAAAGTATAAGAAACTCACAATTTCAAGGATTGTCTACAAAAAATATATCAGCATCAAGCATAAAAATAATAAAATAATTTGTAAATACCTACTAATATAATAAGGCCTGCTGGACACTTATTATCTTTATGAATTGCAACTTATCTATCCACTTACTATCAGATGAGCTGTGCACTTGTTTGTCAATAATTAAAAACATATTCATAGATTAAATAATCATCCAGCAAATGGACATCAATTAAGATCATTTATTAATTTATCGTAGCAGAGTACATTTCATCAAAAGACAACTTTAAGATCCATAATATGTAATTTCTTGGTACAAATAAACACACAGAAAAGCAAAACTATTTAATAAAAAACTGAAACCTTTCTCCTTCAAAAATGTTTCTATTCTGTGGGTGAATATTAAGTTTGTTGACATTATGATTGTATTAAATTAAAATTTTACATTATGACATTTGTTTTATGAAATGATAGAAAATATTAATTTAAATTTAGTTATATTTATTAATATATTTTAATCTAGTAATATTTGAGAATCCCATTGACATTATTTTATTAAGTTAAGTAGAACTTTACTCTGTGACATTTTAATTTTTTTTTTATTTAACTATATTATATTTAAATAGTTGTACAAAGAATTTGTTTTCTACTTATATCTTGTCTAATACAATTCCCTTAAGTTTAGAATGCCTGATAAAGTCCATTTAGTTGTAAGTACATAATATAACTATCCTAAAACCTTTACACCAATAGCAAATAAAGTATTTGATTTGTTTAAAGGATGAAATTCTTGATGCAACTCTAGCATATAGAAAACTAGAAAACCACCTTATTACCTTTTATACGTGGTAGAGCCATGCTGCAGCTATATTTCTGGTATAAATGTAACACGAATGGGTCGGCTCGACTGGGGAAGGACACAGAATACCAGCGTAAAATAGCAGCTTAATGCTGCTGTGTTTCGTATGGTGAGAGTAGAGAACCGGAGACCCTTCTTACTGGAAACAAGCCATTCCATCTTAGTCCTCACGGGTGACAACGCATCTGCATTTTGATTTGTAATCGAGGATAAATGTAGATGTCTATGGGCCACAGAAACCACTTACCATCAGGTGGACTGTGTGTGATGAACTCGTCAAAAACACTTTAATAGACTACCATAGTTAAAATATGAATAGTTATCCTTATTGAAAAAATAGGCAGTAGTTAACTTACAAAAAGTTGCTGTATACTGCATTGTGGCAGCTACGCGTTCACTGAAGACTTGAGTGCAGTTCTTAACTTTCATCTTCTTTATTTTTTCTGGTATAACATGCTCATCTGACAATTTTGGGAGCATTCTTATATTTCCTAATTTACAGTCATAGTTATAAACATCTACAATGTCTTCCCATTTTGTTAATTTTCCCTCAAAAATTAAATTCTTATTCAACATGTTATTGCGTAGGCCTTTTATTAAGTGTGGAGGATCATAGATCACACTTAAGTTACTTCCCCCAATTAGGATACTACCATCTATAAAAAAATATTTCATTACAATGATGGGATATTATTTTTACAAGGTTTATAATTTTAGAGAGAGAAAAATAGGTGAAGTGCTCAACTCGAAGACTTTATAGGAGTTGTGCATTTTAGCTTCCACTCATTAAAATGTTTTCAGAACCTTTGGTCTCAAAACCAAAACCTTCAGTGCTCAAAAGTTTAATTTAACCCATTTTAAAGTAGGAATCGACATAATACTAGGTATATTATTATATGTGGTAGAGCCATGCTGCAGTTATATTAGTAGTATAGTTGTAGCACGAATGGGTTGGCTCGACCGGGGAAGGACCACGCTCTCACAAAATACCAGCGTAAAATAGCAGCTTAACACTGCTGTGTTTCGTATGGTGAGTGTAGAGAACCGGAGACCCTTTTTACTGGAAAAGAGGCATTCCATCTTAGTCCTCACAGGTGACAACGCATCTGCATTTTGATTCACAAATAAGGATAAATGTAGATGTCTATGGGCCACAGTAGCCACTTACCTTCAGGTGGACTGTGTGCTCGTTCGTCACCCTATCCTATAAAAAAAAATATTATATGTATTTAATATTATTTTTTAAGCTTACCAAATTTTATATTATTTTGAAAACAGTGTCTCTTAGTCTCTTCCTGAAGATCTTTAAGAGCACGCTGTGATGTAGCTCCCTGGTCACAAATGAAGGCTAAAGGCTTTAATCCAGATTCGATTACTATCTTAACCATATCCTTTAAAATATGTTTCAAAGTAGCTGCTGGTGTAGTTCCTTGGCAAAAATAGTAAGCGACTGGTTGTCGCCATGATGCACAAATACCTCTGAGCATCACTACCAAAGCATGGTCAGCAAATTTTGGGGGCCCATCTGCTTTTACAAACCCCTCAATTTCATCATTGCTTGCAATAAAATTCAAATGTGCAGATAACTGAACTTCATCAAAAACAATGCTGCACAGTTTTTTTGCATTACTCAATGTTTTGATTTTTTTGTTTTAAAATTGCAAAAAAGTTTTCATTTATACCTTCTCCAAATTTAATATTTTGTAAAACTCTATTCAGAGTTCTTTTGGTTGGTAAAGAGAATAATTTTTGTAGAAGGGAATACCCCTTAGGGCTCTGTTTATACAGCGCAATGCTCATTAATTTTTCATCAATATTATACCTTCTTCCTTTTGAAGCTTTACCAGCAAACCTCAGCTGCAATGCTATAAACTGTTTTGGGAAGAAATCTAACTTTTCTATTAATTTTCTAAAACTTTTGGTATTGCTAAGAATTTCTGCATGAGCAATGTTTTGTTTGTTATCTTCATTACTTGTAAACAATCTCTTTCTTTTAATCATATCTTTACACTTAAAGTACAACCTTCGACATCTTGGAGTTAAGTTGTTAATATTGGTTACAAGTCGAGGTCTACTTTTTACAAGCTTAATACATTTGTTTTTATCACCTGGAAAAAAATATGTATGAGTGATATTGTAATCAGTATTACAAATGGTTCATATAAAATAAATATTTTTATTTAACTGTTGGCATTGTTCTAACTTTTGACTATAAAAAAGTACACATGTATGTAAAAACATTAACACTAGGAAACTACATGTTAAATTACAATTAATATGACTCTTATTTTACAATCTGGTATAAAGAAAGATCACTATGATGCTCAGGTATTTTGTGATCATAGTGGAAAATAAAGTATGAAATTATGTATAAACATTTAACATTACATTAATTTAAAATAAACTTACTGTGTTGAATTGTCGATGGCTTTGGTGAAATGGGGACATCATAACTTTGCTGAGAAGTTGATGGTTTTGGCGACATGGAGATGTAATAACTTTGCTGAGAAGTTGATGGCTTTGACAACATGGTGATGTCATCTGACACAGAAGTCTCTCCAGTATTTTCTCTTTTACTATTTTGTGAATTATCTAAATTAACTGCAATTAAAATAATTACTTTATAACTTTATTTTTATTTTTAATTGTATACCAAAATACAGGAAAATGAGTAGAGTTCAATCTAAAGTATAATATGAACAACAAGCGTTCTTGTCACTCTGAAAGTGATCTCTCCCAGACGACCTTTGCATAGAGGACCACATCTCAGATCCATATGTTATCAATGGCATTATACACTGGTTGTATAATCTTGTTTTCAAGTTTTGAGGTATATATGACAAGATGTGTCATAATCTTCACACGCTGCCCAGCTGAGTTGGATCCGTTGATTGATGTCTAGGTTAAAGTTGGACTTACTTAATCGGACAATTTGTTCAAGGTAAACATATGTGTGATGTGTACATAATATATATCAAGCTAATATTAAAAAAATATTTACCCAGCATGTATTCTTTACTATATTTTGGCTTTTTAATTATTTCAGGAGCTGCTTCTTCCATACCTTGCCTTCTTTTACAGTAAGTATGATCATAATAGTCAGTGATGGATTGACCTGAAATAAATATCACTTTAGCTATTTTGTAATATAAGATAGCTTTTAAAACATTGATTATAAAACCAAAAAAAAAATTTTGCATAAGAACATGCAATATATTTAGTATCATATTTTCTTCAAACTCTACTCTCATGGTTAATATTGCATTGATAAATAATTTAAACCACTGCCTCGGGTATAATTCAGTCTTTATCAAATATATTTCTAAATTTGGCTCTAAATGGGAAAGATATTTTCGTACTTACTGGGTACTCCACAAGCTATTTCTTCTTCAGTCAGTAGAGTAGGATAACCGTGGTATTTCCTCGTGAAGCCATCAAGATATTGATGTTCGAAATGCCTGATACAAATCTTCTTTTTGGCTAATTGTTTCGATGACAGTTGAAGAAGTTCAGGGCTATGAGGAGCGACATAAGAAAGCCAAAGGCTTTGCATGTTTTTGTCTCGAGGAAAGTAAAACATTACTATATCCTTGGCAAGACAAGAGTTGACACAACACACGGTAATAGGCATTATTTAACCCTACGGCACTAGTAGATAATAACACCAAAAAATATGAGTTCTATCTCTAAAATGAGTCCTGTCTCTTATAAGTCACTGAATCAACAGCACCACAAAGATTCGACGAGATAACGGAGGAACTGAAGCTCAACTCAACGTTGCTAGTGAATTTGTAGAGCAGTAACCAAAAAAATACAGAAACGTGTACGAGTCTTACGAATCGACAGCGATTTGTAAAAAAAGATTGCTACTTTCAAGTGTCAACATTTAACTGACATTTGTCAAAATAGGAAGTCTGTGGCGCCACCAAGTGTTGATTTAAGAGTGCCCTCCAAACTCTTAAGTTTTAAAAAAATGTTCTAGCTGTCAACGCCGTGGTTTATATATTGTTTGTAATATAAAACTCTTATTTTGTTCATAAATTTAGTGTATTTTTGTACAACTGAGACAGGACTCCCTCTATTATAGTTTTAAGTGTATAATATTAGTAAATCTTGGTGTAATAATGTCATCAGATAAACATTGTTGTGTTCCCGGGTGTACAGAAAATCGAGGTAATCTGTTAAGCTATGTCTTATGACTCTATTTTCATATCATTATTATATGTATATCTTTTAATACGAGTAGTATTAAGGCTCTTAAATCAAATACTGTTCAACTTCATTAGTTAGGAGCTAAAATATCCTGCATTCCTAATCTTAGTGGGCTTATGCCCTTGCTTGATAAGTATTATTTTTAAGAAAGTTGATCATAAATTTTGTAGAAATTAGTACCCAATGAGGTAGTAGAAAATTAAAAATAGATGTTGTTAATTATAATCAACATTGTGTTAATTAAGTTATATACATAACATACAATATAGTATTTATTTAAAAATGTTTCCAGTTTGGAATATTGTAATTTTATAATTCTATGACATTAAAATCGGCAAATATGAAGATAATAATCAAATTTCTTTACTGATTCTAGGCAGGAAGCAAGTGCTGCATCAATTTCCAAATCCAATTAAGGAACGAGAATGTTTCAAGCAATGGGTGTATGCAGTTGGTGGTGATATTATAGGCCTAGAAAATGAGCGCATATATAAGTATGTCACCGACATTTTGAGGTCAAGTATCTATGTCGCAGTAACAAAATTGCCAATACAGCTAAGCCAACGTTGTATATACCAGGTATGTGAATATAATTTATTACACTTAACGCTTAAAACGTAATTTATATAGTTAAAGCAATGTCTATTGGCTTACAAATTATTGTTTTTGACTGTTGTACATTATATATTCTATGCATTTACCCATGAAGGTATTTATGCAGTAAAATTATATATTTATTAATATAACATAATTGAAATTTACACTGTTATAGTTTTACAGTCTGCCAAACTGCTCAGCAGTTTGTTGGCAGAAAAATAATGCCAACACTTCAACAACTTCCTAAAAAAATAGCTTAATACAAATATACAATCATAAAAACAAACAAATAGTATAAATATAACATTAATTAGCAATTTAAATAACAATAGAATTTTTGTATGTGCATAAATGTATGCATATATAAAAAAGCCATAAATAATTTTATATCTATTTTTGTATAATGGATTTACAATACAAATTTTTTTAGGGAGTATCACCATCCGTCCAACATTTTCCACGTTAGAGTCTTCTCACATGGCGTCCCTTAGGTGTACGTAGTTTTCCGCCCTCAGTTTCCGTTGATTCGTTCTAATGAACAACAACAGCTCCGTTTCAATTTTGGCATACTCATCTACCAGAAATTGACTAAAGAGTGCAAGGTAATAATGGAGATAAGAGTTGTCGTTGGAACGGAGCTGAATCATGTAACTGTAAAACTGGAGGGCGGAAGTCTTTTTGTTATAATTTGGTGCACCTGTCTGCGGGTCTACATTGTATAAGGCAAAGTGGTAGCCATCCTCTCCGCGGCAAAAAATTGGGGATACGATCATCACATGTGCGTAAAACAATGTCTCTTTTGTCACATTCCTGGTCAACCAAGAGGACGGCTACCTCGTTTGATGTTGGTGCGTTATATCGTCCTGGATGGGTTGCGGACGGTCTTTTGTCTGTGCTAATAACGAATTTAAAATTATCGCGCTCGTGTTCAGGCACTGATTCCAGAGCGGTTTTGAAATCGGTAACGTATGGATTAACACTGTGCAGAGTGTTTTGAAATCCCCTTATAAGGCTCAAGTCTAAATTAGGAATGTGTCGGCATCGGACATTAGCCAAATTTTAAAACGCAATTAAAAATAATGTAAATAAACGTTATTTTTAATTGTGTTTTTGCTTTATACATAAGGCATTCTTTTGGTGAATTATTATAATTTTTTTTTATTAAATGTTGGAACATTCTTTTGCCAAAATAATTACCACATTTTCATCATCATTGTAATGTTATTTAAGTGGTCTTAGCATATTCTTATATATAGTAAAGTTACAGTCCCACTGCTAGGCACAGGCCTCTTCTCAATTCTGAGAGGGTTTTAGGGCAAGGAAGTGTCCGCCACACTGCCCCAATGGGTGTTGATGAACTTTACATGTCTTTGAAATACTTTTTTTCTTATTCCTCAGACATGTAGGTTTCCTCACGATGTTTTCCTTCACCGCCGAGCATGTGGTAAATCAGCACTTAAAATTGCAATTAATAATTTCCTTGGTGCTGGCGGGGATTGAACCCGGGTTCGCGCTCTGTTATATTTAAAGTAGCGCTAAACATCTGAGTTAGGGAATGCAATGCCGCGGATCCGCAATCCCGCATGAAATTAGCGAGGTTAAAAATGCGGGATAACACGTGCGGAATCCGCAAGATTTGCAAGATTTTATATTTCCGGTCTAAATTCGCATAACATCATGTACGGCACGGATGAATGTCAATTATCGGATCGCCAAATTGAAGTACGTATGTGTTTTTTTTATGTCGGGCTGCTTTTCCCAACTCCACGTCTAAGCACGTATTTTGCGTGTGAGCAGAAATAATGTGATTATTCTAGCAATGAAATCTCCCCGAAGAAGTTCAACAATAAGGCATTGTTTGCAGCAATACTTCAGGGAGCGATCCCAGGGTGCTGAAATGTTTAGCACTGTATGCAGCGACCTTCGGATATGTCGGTAACACATGAGCCGCCATTTCTCTTGAAGCAGCCATTGCTCTTAGAAGCAGCAAGCACGGCCCTTTTCTCGTTACTTCTTTTTCATCTTCTTGGCCTTTGCACCACTGCCTGCTGGGATAAATGCACTGGATTGCCCCTCAGGTCGGTAAGTAACCTTTTTGGATGCCTTTTACCCTTACAGCTCACCACTTGCCAGGCAGCAGAGAAAACGTCATCTGTTCTTTGGGGCTCCGCAGGAGTTTCTACTAGTGGTCCCTTGCTCTTTTCAGCTCCTCAGATTTGGAACTGGTTTTAGGAACATCCAGCGCCGAAATTGCCCCCTTGGTGGGGCAATTTCCGCGTATTTTTACAGGAGTACAGTGACAAGTGACAAGCACACAGCCCACCTGATGGGAAGTGGTTGCTGCGGTCCATAGACATCCACATCTATCCTCGATTACAAATCAAAATGCAGATGCGTTGTCACCCGTGAGGACTAAGATGGAATGCCTCGTTTCCAGTAAAAAGGGTCTCCGGTTCTCTACACTCACTATATGTAACATAGCAGCAATAAGGCTATTTCACGCTGGTATTCTGTGAGAGCGTGGTCCTTCCCCGGTCGAGCCAACCCATTCGTGCTACAACTATATTACTAATATAACTGCAGCATGGCTCTACCACATATAGAACTTGGATGATTTTGATGTGGTTTTTGCATATTATGTCTAGGTAGGTTCATATTATGTTTTATAGTTATAAACGACAAGGAGATTTAGTTACCATGAAGATACTATATAAAGTAAACACTGAGATTCAACTCAACCAATGCTGCTGTGTAACTGCCCTAATAAATACTGAAGACGGAGGATCTGCCAATAGTAAATAAATATAGAGGTTGACAGGCATAAACTGTCACTATACTTCAGACACCAACTCTTTAACTTTATGCTGCGGTGTTACCACCTAAACCGTGTAGATTAAGAATCTGTCAATTGTGAAGGTTATTAGTCCACCACACCAGGAAACTGCTATTAGTTGCAGGTTCTTAAAATTTGTTTTTTATTTGAACTTGTATTAATTTCAATTCCAGGACCACTGACCCTTCCAAACTACACTTTTAGTGAAGGAAAACCTATGAATCTCATCCAGACTTATGACGATAATATTCTAAAACCATGAACATCAACAGGTAAAATCAATATTAATTTAATAATATTATAAAAGTGCTTAACCTATTTTTGTCGAAATTTCGTACATAGATAGCTTGCATCCAGGATATATGGGCTACGTTTTAGTCTGGAAATTCAAAGACTTGCCATGACAATTTTTAAAAACCTCAATTCACACAAAGTTTTTGGCATATACTATATGGTATGTATATGTAGAGAGATTTTGTGATATAGTGACAGTACTACATAATATAAATAACTAAATAGTATTTTGTATAAATTTTATTAGTTAGGTACTAATAGTTCCTCATCATTATGTCAACCCAATGCCTGCCCACAACTAAACACAGGTCTCCTCTCCTTGCTTTCCAGCCCTAATAACAACTACCTCTCTAACTGTACAGCTCTTATATTATATTTTAAGATGCCTGTGAAAAATAGACATGGAGAGAACTATAAAGATTCCTTGTTTTACTATGGAACCCCAAAAACTCCTTACAAAAGCTGAACAAATAAAAACGACATTTATTCCTAGAAATAGAGCTACAGACCTGAATATTGGGAAAAAAATAGTGACTTATATTAAATTAATTTTAACTTATATTATATAAAATTAAATTCTTATTACATATAAATTCTTATTTCATATAAAAAAGTTA